AGACAGACAGAGAGAAAGACAGAGACAGAGAGACAGAGACAGAGCGAAAGACAGAGAGAGGGACAGAAGGAGAGACAGAGAGAAAGACAGAGACAGAGTCAAAACAGGAAGGGAAATAGGGCATGACTGAGACTGTGATATGCACAGACGAAGAGCTGGTGTGCAATGTAACGCACGCAAGGAAGGTCCAGATCTCTATCATAAAAGAGGGAAGAAGAACAGAAAGTGACAAGACAAAGAGGTGAAGTGGCAGAGACAGAGCAATAGAGAGATGCAAGTATACAGGGAAGAAAGGTGGAGACAAAACAAAGTAGAGGAGAGAATATGATGCACGAGTAGTGAGGGACGGGGGGACACAGGGAGGTAGGGAGAGACGTGGTGAAGAGTTCTGGTGTTAGAGGAGAGAGAATGAGAGCTTGGAGAGGGCAGGGCAAAGCTAGGCGCAGAGATCCCAGCAGGTAGACAGAAATGGATACATGGAAGTACAAGTGGACATTGAGATAGAAAATACACATAAGAGGAGCAATAAAGTTAGAGATTGATGCACATTTACATGCACATAACATACTCCTTAATTTACAGCCGCATTCCATTGTTAAAACCATTGTCGGCTGAAGATACCATGAGTTAAAAATGTTGCAAATACATCTAACCTACCAGACGCCACAATTTAGCAGTGTGTGCACTATAGAGCAGGGTCCCCCCACATGGGCCGCTTCCAGTCCATGGCCTGCTAGGAACCAACCTGCCCCACAGGACGTGAGTGCTAGATTCAGAAGTGGCATTAGATTCTCACAAGATTAGAATCCTACTGTGATTTGCACATAGGAGGGCCTTAGGTCGCATATGCCTTTGAATCATCCTGGTCCCCACCCAGGTCCATGGGAACACCGTCTTCTTTAAAACCAGCCTGCTGCTAGTAAGGTTGGGGACCACTGCTGTACAAGGTTGGTTGTTTCTCCAGATCTCATGGCTGATGGGGAGCTAGAATTCATGCCCACTGCCTAGCTGGCATGTCAGGAGGGATCACATCACAGGCTTGTAGCATGGGAAGTAGGAGCACAATTAAAAACTTGCGATATAGATCCGTGCTACAGCGCATGCTTAGCATGCCTGGTGCGCTGGGTTAAGCTCCCAACAGCAATAAATATAATTCAAAGTACTCTTTCTACTGAGTATACATTGCTTTTAGATCTGTATAAGTTGAATCATCATTAATTGGGGACTATCTGTGTACACTGTTACAAATCATATATACATTTGTATGTATTATATGTGTATATGTATATATGTTATGCATGTGATAGATAATGTTGTGCATTTCTAACTTTCCTTTGTTCTTCATTCAGATTCTACATATCCATGTATCCATGTATCTCTCTCTGTTTCAACTCTCTATCCCATGACCACAATACTATGTAAGATGCCCCAGCATAGTTCCTTAAAGCATCCACCATTTGTTAGTTGTCACGGGCCCATGGAGTTGCTAGGCTGTCCTGTTGATCTGGGCTATAGGCTCAGTTGACCTTGGTTGAACTTGGTCAACTATTGGCCATCTGTCAGGTTTTCTGGGAGAGGGGATGCTGGCCCAGGTGGATGAATTCCAGCTTACCAGGAGCCATGAGATCTACAGGCCCAGGTAGCTGGGCTGGAATGAACCAGTTGTGCTACTTGTGTTCGTTCATGTGCAGCAGGTTACTTGGACTTGTTGTCATGGCAACGATGGGAATCCAACAGCCAGCAGAAGCACAGTGGGCTCTTTGGGTCCTAGAGCCAGAGCTAGAACCCCTGACTTCTACACACATTTAAAAACAAGGAACTAATACTGCCTCTCTTGATAGAAGGAAGTGTAAACCCCACTGCCAAGAATTCCAGTTCCAGAAAATTGGAAGACACCTCTTCCTGTCTGTCTCCCTGAATGCAACCATGAATCCCAAATCTGAGGACTCTGAATAATAAATGGCAGGAAGCTAACTTGAGGAGGAAACCAGAGAAGACAGAGAGTCAGGGCCAAAGCACCCGACTTTCCTGTTTGGGGGTGGACACAGTACAGCATTGCCCCTGCAGCTTCCCCGGAGTTATTCCATATAGAATAGAGCACCAGCAGCTTTCTGACCACGGTTTGCTCCATGTTACTCCACTCAGTATAGAGCAGCAGCCTGCCTTGGGGTCCTCCACTCTGGGTACAAATGCTACACCATAATGACCCTGTACCTTGATTGTGTGTGTGAACAACCACCATCTGCCCAGCACAAGCACAGGCTTGGACTGAAAAGTGATTTATTTATATAAAAAAACCCATAACCTGTGAATTTCTTGAATTAAATCAGGGACACATAGACAAATAGACATACTGGGCCATGTCGGAGACACCAGGCATGTGTTTACTAAATATGCCACACCACAAAATGAGGTCACCACCATAGTCCAGGATGTATAAAAGGACAGATACCTGAAACTGCACAGTGTACAAAATGACACCTTGCTCCAGGCCACCCACTGGATGCATCACAAGATCTTCTGCAACGCAAGCAGTTTTTGCTCTGTTTCTGCCAACAGCTCAGTGAGGTTCCCAAGCTGACACAGCCCACTGCAAAGCTGTCTGGGCCATTTGCTTGACAGTTTGGTTGCTCGCTCCAGTATCTGCTTTCTTAACTAAATTCCTGGCCCCTCAAGTGATCTGCATTTGTATTAACTCTTTCCCTTTGCCCTTTGATTTTTAAAAATCTATAGCATATTTGCCCTTTTGTTTCTGTAATTTAAACACTGTGGGCTGCAGTGTGATGTGCTATTTAAGAGCTGAAATAGTTGAGTTAGGTGCTCATACAATTGCAATGGAACAAAGAATTGCAGTTTTTTTTTTTTTTGCCAGCATTATAATTCCAGTGAAATCCGCAATAACTTGGGGAAATAGTGAAACTGAAGTAACTTTTGCATGTGTTGATATTCAGTGAATTCTGACATTGTGGAAATAGGAGAGTATGGCGGCCTGTGTTAAAGGCATAGCTCGTCCACCACGGGTTTAAGCTACTTTTGTCTTTCTCTGTTTTCTACAAGACCCTGCGTCATCCCAAGGGCAGTGGCAGGAGTGGTGGCTGGAACGCTGTCTACAAGCTGAGGAAGGTGATATTTATTCTGACCACAGGACTGTGGCTCCCATAGAGAGAGAGATCTGATGGCTTTCATTTTCTTTATCTTCTTACTTTTTGGCTCTGGAGGCAGCTGCTGCTGTGGGAAAGGCAATGTGTACTGAAAAAGATTTCAGGGAAGACTTTGGAAATAGGAAGTGTATATAGACAGCAGGCAGGAAGGAGAGGAAGAGCTCTCTCTCGCTCACTGGTTCCGGGACTCCGGAATTCGCCCCGGCTGTGCAGCGGGAGCCTGAGCTGCCGCCCTGCAAAGGCTTTGCCAGTGGGAGACCAGGTCCAGGTTCGGGAGCGGCCACGCGGGGGCGCTTGAGAGCACAGCTCTGAGCAGGAAGTGCTGGGAAGGATTAGAAAGGGAGCTGACTGAATTGCCCTGCAAAGGAAGATGGGACTTTACAAGCCTTCCTAGGACAGTTCCCTGCTAACAAAAGTACACAGTGTTTATATACCATACAAAATGTGCCCGCAGCCTATCACATCGTTTTCAAAATGTGCAAGATCCCATCCAGAGTCACCCAGTACATGGAGAACTCGGAAACTCTTTGTGTCCCACAAAGGGAAAGTCCTCACAGAGGGGGGCACTGCTGCAGGGACAGGGCTGTTGATAACAAAGGTGAAATCCAGCGGAAGAGAATAAGAAACAGGGAGATACACCTTTTGCAAATGAGAAGAGAGCTAGAAGTGGAGAATGGTGGAGGAAGGAAGAGAAATAAAAAGAAGTATGACATGTTAGGCACACATCCCTGCCCCCTGGACAAAGGTAAGCACTGTGTACCACAAACACGTACTAATAAAAATAAACGTAAAATGAACACAGCAGTCACTATGGCCCATGAGCAGGAAGGGGGAGGAAATTTTTTTGATCATATGTATGTCCATAAATCAATCACAGAAACCAAGTGTGTTTTCTGAGGGTGTGGTGGCCAGCAGGTATATACTAGATGTCCAGGTAAATATGCATTACAGACCAAGAGCTACTAATCTGTTTAGTTCAACGTTGTCCAAAAAAATACATGGAATTGAACCTGTATTTTTTATTTATTTAACCTTTTAGCAGATACAAGGGAGTTTTTTAATGCTGCTGGAGGATAAACAACAGGTTTTTTTTTTTTTTTTTTTT